TTGATATTCCTACTGCGTGTGATACCACGGGTGTATCGGGTGAATGCGGTAGGATCAGAATACCCATGAGCTATGATATAATTAGTGACAACATACTTCAGCTATGGTACCCTGGTGTCCGCCCTGAAGCCCGACCCGGAGAGGCATCGATGGAGGACGAGAATCTAGATTAACGAGAGAAGACTTTACTCCATAGCCCCCCCTCTATACCCTCCACATAGCGGGTCACACGCAAGTTACCATGTATACCACGCGGCAATACCAGCCGTATCCCAGTTTGAGCACCATCAACTTTCCGCATCCCCCGATCTCTCCGCTTCATCCCTTGCGTCGATTCAGCCTACGGGCGGGCAGGCCGACCGACCAAATAGCCCTGATATACCACCCCATGCGAACCCCCTCCTCCACAGCTCCCCTTCCAGAAGCCCTACGCACAGTGCCGGCTGAACTTTTTCCTCCATTTTGAATAGAATCCTTTTACCCGAGTGATATCCAGTGAACTTTCAGGACATCAAATTAGTGGTCAACTTCGGCCGGGTGGACGCAACGCACAACAGAAGAGCAACTAGAACACGGAGCTCACCACGTAACCTAGCAAGGTGAAACAGAACCTGCTCCGATGAATAGATGAAAAGACCTAGGTAATTTGAAGCTGACATTCGAAGGCCTGGGCGAAACAGTAATACATATGGCAGAGAAAACCCACAAATCGCAAAGGGCAAAGGTAACTTATGGCACCGTATCGATGACAACCCATACACCCCTAGTCCAACTCTACTACCGCACTACCTATATGAAAGAAAGGTAGAAATAATTGAGGAAGCACAGACCCACGACACCCCGCAAGATACCAAAAACGAAGAGGGGAAATATCAAAGGAAGCAACGATAAAAAAAGAAAAAAAGAAGAAAAAAAACAATGTCATGGTGATACCGGCGCTACCAATGCGATACCTGACGAGAGCGCTCCAGCACCAAACAACCACAAACTTCTAGAAATTTTTTTATAGGTGACTGGGAGGGTAAATAACCCCCCAAGCCAAATCTCCAGAACACCCATTCACAAACTCATTCCATCACTACCATACCCACCTCTCGGCGATCCCGAAGCAAGATTCGCCCATGTGAGCTCCAATACGGGCATTCTTCCACCACCGGCGTAACACCTCCCCTATTCTCCCCTCCCTCCCGCATTCCCCCAGCAAGCGGGAAGTGCAGATCATCTCCATAATCTCTGTTCCTAATCTTCCCCGCCCGACCATTCGCGATCCCCCCCCTTCATCTACCAGACCACCGAGATACCGCCCTCTAATCCCTCAGCTAGGTGCACACCTATCTAAGCATAATATCCACAAACTTCTGACATGATGCTCATACTTATCCTTCTTTTAGAGTCCTTACCCACCGTCCACTTCACAAAATCTCACTCGGGCAGGGGTAGGTATGATAACAGCCCCTGGCCAGTCGTTGGGTTACAATTCCCCAGAAGGGGGGGGGGTTTAGCGGGCTCATAAATGTTAATAAAAATCTTGTCACAATTACCGCATTTCCTCATCTAAAAGAGGATCAGTTACCCATCGCGTACGGGAGTAGTCCCTCCGCAATGATAAATGCAAGTGACATTCACGGAGTTGGTAGTCTTCCAGAAAGAGGGATGTATGAACGTATAGTACAGTACTACCATTCCCCTGCAATACCGTCCATGTAAAAGAATACACATGCCAGAGTGAGTGAGTGTATCCCTTAACTTACCTCGCTTCCAAACTACTGGCCTGGCGGGGTGCCAAGACTGGTAGAGTGACGGCAAAAGAGTAATCACAACTCAATGCCAATGGGGGTATAGAAGCCATAGGGAAACCAGAGAAATATTACTAACAAGTCAGCATGTGGAATATCAAGTAGTGATGATAGAATCATTGAAGAAATACAAATCATCACAAAATTACAACTATCGATCTATATGACAGTATTAAAGAACCCAATTGGATCTTGGGCTAGAGTATTGAATGGCATGGGAAGCAATATCATTTAGAATGAGCCTTTGACTAAAAAGAAGAAGAAATATAAAGATAAATTTAAGACCGAGACAGAGTCTGTACCTAGGACAGAGATCGTCGGGTAATTCTTCGCATAGCTTCCAGTTTTCCCAGAACAGCCAGGAAAAGGCTTTCTTAGACCTATGGGAGAAGAAAGAAAGGTTGTGTGTCTTCAGTTATCTCATATCCCCACCCTTATCCCCCGATATCTGTAACATATTTTCTGGCGTGGTTCCGGGCGCCCCACCATAAAACAGAACACAATAATCCTCCTATAAATCTGCACACTATCAACTCCATCCCCGTAAAAAAAAACTGTTGGTTTTCACTGACAACCCTTGGCTCTTCTTCCTTCTTTTAGCCTAGCCTATGCCATTCAATTTTCCACAGATGGGCACCAATTGAGAATAGCTCGCCACGATCTAGAGTGGCTAGAATCGTGCTAATTGATTAACCCGTATACCGAAGTGAGGTGAAATCTAGCAAGGGAAGGGACAACAAGACTCCGACGGGAGAAGGACAACGTCGCGACCATGGCGCCACGGTAGATGATATACTCGAGTACCCAAGTGTATTCGCAACTAGGGCAGCGGCACGCTGACCCATTAGGGCCCCCAGGTAAATCTCCAACCGCGCCATTTCCCTGTCCCGGTTTCGCTCCCTGGCGTCGGCGAACCCGGCAATTGAAGGGACGCATTGCACAGTACGGTACAGTACAGTGCTCGGGCTTCTCAGCCAAGATTTATGTGCTCCGTCCGCTGAAGGGACCATAGTTTATTACTGTATGGTACGGTGCTGTCACGCAGCGGTCACGGGAACCCAACCATTCCGGGAGGGCCGTTTGTCGATCGGGTCGCCGTAAGTTTATGCTTTTTTTTTTTTCCTTTGAAGATCTTGACCTCCGCGCTAGCTATTGCACACATGGCTAGTGAGCCATCCTTTCAGCGGATCGGAGTTTATGCCACCCGCTAGGACTAATTGGGTGCCAAATGTTGGCTAAGAGGCATGAGCACTCGAGTAGACTGCTCGTACCGGTACCGCAAAAACCATCACATTATCAACGGAAACCAGCCCGGCAGCCGACGATAGGCTTAGGTTGACAGGATAACGAATACCGGTACCGGTTATCATACTCGAGTACGAAGTGCAAGTAACTAGTTCTCGAGACCCAAACACGTCCAAGTGGGCCGATCCTATACCTTGTCGGGAAAAACGCTAGTCCTTCCCGGGAACTTTTTGACTCAAAATCCGGAGATTACAGGGCTGCCGGAGATAGTGGACTTCAAGAGTTTTTTAAGGGTAGAGTAAGGTATGCATGTGATAAGTTATTCGGGTATGGAGGTTAGTACTCGAGTACCGTAGTGGGGTAAGGGTAGGGATTTTTAAAAAGTTCCTGGTCGCTCAACACCGTGAGAGGTAAAAAATATATGTTAATCTGGTTGGGAGAATGCCAGGAGGGGTAATAATAAGCTTTGACATCTCGAAAGAACCCTAGTCCATCTATCCCCAGCGCTGACCTCCATACCCGAAGATGCACATGTCGGTGATGCAGAGGATCAGGTTACCTTACCTATAAATTGGAAAAAATGAAAATGAAAAAAAAAAACTGAGAAAAAAGGTTATATGATACCATCTCGACGATAGAAGAAACGTTCCCCCCCCCCTCCACCGTACCTCCGCGGAAACAATCGAGTCCTACTATTCTCAGAAAGAATGAAAACAACTGTCTTTCCAAATATCCATCGCACTCTCACTACGGTACCCAGTACGCTCTGGAGCTCTTGCCTTGTTAGATCTGGACCTTCTGAAGCATGGGATTTCGAGAACCCGCGCTCCCCAAACCAACGGGATAGTTTCAGCACTCAGACAGGAGCACTTTGATAGATGACACTGCATATCGGAATGTATCCCGGGGGTGGGGGGAGGGCGAGATTGATCACAAACCTACTGGTATCATACTTTTGGTTCAAGTTCACCCCCAAATCCACTGCGTGGTGGGGTGATTGGAGGCACTGGAGAGGGAATAAATAAATAAAAATCGGTATTCTGTCTGAATTTGTGCAGCAACTTAATGAATGGTTAAAAACCGGGGAGGGAGGAGGGAATCAGAAACAGTATTGAGGCCAAGATAGTTGGGTGCAAGTTTTATATCCAACTACCGGTATGAGGCCAGATGGTATCTGCTAGCATAGGACACCCGGCTCCAAGGATCTGTGCTTTGGTGGGCCTTGACATCAAGGAATTCTCGCGAAATTGTGAGTATGCCCATTCGGGATATAGTAAAAATAAAAAAATAAAAATAAAAATAGGGTATGATAACATTATGATATCCATCATACAAAAAAGCAAGGTCAAAAGGAGGAGGAGAGAAAAGAACGATAAGGTTTAGCAGTATCAGACCTTATCAATCCATTCCTTTTTAACTTCACGAAAGCAGTGGCACCCTGGTGGAAGCCAGGGTCCTCCCATGGGTCGATTGGCTGGTCATAACCGCCCCTGTTATGAAGATTATTTGTCATGAAATATGTTACCACAGCAGAGGAGAGAAGAAAAACGAAAAACAAACAAGTAGACCCCTGCGCGGTGGTGGACCTCTTCTCAGCTCTGGTCTGGTCCAGTCATCTACTTGTACGAGTACCGTACTTGTAGTTTTCGCGCCATCGATGGATTCTCGTGTCGTGCGGTACAGTACGCCACAGCACAGTACGGGTACCCTACCGGTTGGAGCTGCGGATCCCTGACCACACAAGTCGACTACAGTACTCGAACAATCGCGGAACAACTAGACACGCACCACTTCCAAATACACAGTCACTACTAATTGGCCCAATCTTAGTAATCCTAGCTAGCACGCCAATCAGTGGTAGCTGTGTATTTTGGTGGGTCGCGTGCTGTATTTGGGTGTTCCGCCATTGCAGTGCACGCTCAGGGATTAAGCGTAGAAACACCAATGGAGCAGCCCATGTGGAAGAAACCATTCTCTTGCTCATCTCCCTATTAACAAATCCCACGTTACGCCAATATATACAAAAAAAAAGGGGGGATACGGCCACAAAAGCCACAGTAAGAAAGAAAGGAAAGGGGAAAGAATGGTTTAGACAAGTTCGTTCGGGTTTCCACCAGCGAGCCAATTTCATACCATAATGATTGTACCAGATCGCCCCCGCTCAAGCAAAGCAAAACATAGAAGAGATAGCGCCTGTTAGCAACCCCCCAAAGAGAATGAAACATGAAAAGAACCACCATCCCCCATGCAGCCACTAGAATATGAAGAAGAAAAAAACCTAATGATACACCAAACCCATCCGCTAAATCGCAAATTATCGAATTAATATGTAAAAAGAATGGAAAAAAACTAATAGAGGGCCTCTATGAAGCCACTCCAATCTTTGCATCAGGAGGATATTGAGGTGGTTGTGAGGAAACATAATCTGATGCTTCGCTCTTGTAATCCGCGCGATGATCTTGATACGGCGAAAATTGGCCTCCGCTCAGGGAAGGATTTCGGCCCGCCGAGTCAAACTCTTTGGACGGTGAATATGGCGCTGGGGGCGTTCGTCCAGTTGCTTCAGTGTCTTTGAATGGTGTGTAGGGTGGTGAAGAAAATGAGCTCTCAGATCTTAATCTTGGCGGGTGGCTGTATGCATCGCTGTCTGCGCGGCCCCTGAGTAGTGCTGAGAACGTGTTAGGATTGTATTCCCTCGGCATTGAAAGTGAGAGGCTGGTATCCTGCCCGGGTTTCAAGACTGCTGGGTGAAAGCATCCAGGTGTCGATGGGGACTTTACTGAATCGAGCATTTCATACGATGGATCGTCGGGGGGGCGTCTGGCGTTGAAGGAGACGAACTCGTCATTTGGCTTCTTCCGAACAAGGATGTTTTTAAAGAAGTTATACCAGCCAACGAAAATGGAGATATTGCCAAGTAGGATGAGAGCCCAGATTCCATTAAACTAAACCACCGTTAGATCAAACCTCACCACTGCCACGTACGAGTGGGCAACTTACCGATAACAAGAACAGCACTGCTAGGGCAGTCGCCTCAGGTATTACAAGTTCCGCCGCAACCTCTAAACACTTCCCCTTATCTCCTTCATTCTGGAGCAAACACATCAACCACTTGAACCCTGCCTGCACATTCTCCGGCGTCTTCTCCGTAGTCCCATCAAATTGCAAGAAAACTGTCGCAAAAAATACCACGTCTGCAAGAATCAAAACAACCACGAATATCCCCCTCCACTGCAGCACTACGACCCTCTGAATCCTTTTGAAAGCCTGTCCTGCGGTCACGGTCCTGACACTCGTCGCATATGGCAGCGGCGATCGTAGCTCTGTTGCTTCTTTCTCTTCCATTAAACTGCGGAGATAGACCTGGATGCAGTAACCAAAGCTATTATTCGTCAGTTGCGTGCTGGTTGGACGGCAGTAGAACCACTCACGTTATTGACTGAGTGACGATAGATGCCGCGGCCACCGCTAAGAGCGGTCCCCAGAAGGTCTGTAGCCCTGCCTTGGAATTGATATGACATGATTCACCAAACCGGAACGATACCCCAGTTATGGATAGCGCTACAGCCAAGAAAACCACGGGTATCGACCATCCAGCGGCCTGTGCAGTGAGGAAGAAGCGGCGTCCAGGAATTACTTGCCAACAAATTTGAAGATGCAGTGATAACGTCCGCAGGAAAACTAGACTTGTCAGCCGGATTCTCAAATCGGTCGAGTTGAGCAAACATACCCCACATGACTGTACACCATCCTCCACCTAATAAGAAGGCACCGGAAAGAGCACAATTAATGCTCGAATACATATCGTGAGGTGTAATCTTGTCAAAGCACTGTGTCGATGAGCTCCCCATAGGTATTATGAAAGATACCTAGTATCGTCAGCCCATCCATTCCATCTCATCTGCCCATCCATCCTATCCCATCCAAAATCATCGAGCCACGCGCACCTGCATTAGCATTATAGCCAACACCAGACACACGCTCAGGTAGTGTCTGTGTGTGCATTCAACCGGCAATATCGCGAAACTAAGCAGCATAAAAACGCAACACCCTACGCCCACAATATTCACGTTTGTAGAGTAGCGTACTAAGTGCTGGAAATCTAAGAGACCCCATTAGTTCGAAAGCCCCAGTGCCCAACTTTGGTGGACAACTCACTATCAGGGTATACCCATTGTTGTCTAGGGCATGGTAGGCAGCACGTTCCTCCGCCGGAGATCATCGGTAGGCAAATTCTAGCATTTGTATCTGAGGGATTCATCAGTAAGACATGATAGTGGGGGGGGCTAGTGGTCGTGCGGTCAAACTTACCACCTCCACTCTCCGGATAATCGCTCCCAGGGACAAACGGTGAAGGGCAACTTGCAGCCATTCCGTTCGTAATTGGGAGCCACTCTTCAGACTCGGTTGGAAAGAATACCCGGCGATTTACGAGACGGACACAAACTTCAAAACTCCCACAAGCAAAACCCTTTAGTTGTAATAACCCGTAGTAGTAGTAGTAGTAGTAGTAGTAGTAGTAGTAGTAGTAGTAGTAGTAGTAGTAGTAGTAGTAGTAGTAGTAGTAGTAGTAGTAGTAGTGCAATAGTATCGGTGCTACTGGTGGTAGTATATGCAGTAGCAGCAGTCGATGGTGTCAGACAATCAAGAAACGATTCAAAACGAATGACGAATGGCCCCGGTGGATTGTATATAATCCTTGGGGAACAAAAAAAAACGAGAGTCGAATTGGGGGGGGGGGGTGAGAGGGGTGTCAAGTATATACCCCAAAAAAAAAGAAAAAAAGGCTTGCTATGGTAAAGGCAAGAGGCACCCGGCAGAAAGGTTACCTTGACGGCTACTCCCGCGGCGGGGGAGCTGGCCGCGATATATACTTATTATGAGCAGTCCAAGGGATTTCCCCCCCCAGCGCATGGCCATGCTGCTCTGCGCTTTACTTTTTCCTCCCTTTTGGCATATTTGGGACATGAATGGTCGCTCACAAGGATACGGTCTGGGAGGAGCGTCCCCCTAAGACACGATAGGTTGTCGGGTCTGCCGGGGGGGGGGGGAAGGGCAGGAAGGGCAGGTGTGGGAGAAGTGGAAGGCGAGGGCTGACGCCCCGGATCACGAAATTCGCCGGACCTAGCCAACGCCGCCCTTTTCCCTCCGCACCTATGATACCACCAGTCAAAAATGAGCGACTGAAAAAAAACAAAAAAATAAACAGGTTCAAGAGACAGATGGGGCGAGTAACCACCAGCAATGGGGGGCTACTACGGCACTGTACCAACCGCAGGATGATACCTCGAGCACCAGTACTAGTACGAGTACATCGCACCAGAATCGCTGCTTGTACAAAAATTTTACTACGGTCTACCTGACTGGGGGGGATCATAGATGGAACTTCATGCAAGGAAGGAAGGGAGAAGCGACAGGCAGCAAGCGTCCAGTCATTACCATGACCAGCCTTTGCCGAGGAAAAAATTTGTGAGGGTTAAATTTACCCCTCCTCCCTCTACCGGTATTCTATCCAAAAGGTACCCCTTCCCTTGGGTCTCGAGGGATGAGAAGAACGACAAGGGCGAGAACGATTAGCACACGCAACCAAATAATATTATGATAATAAACTCCATAAGTTACAAGTAACCCCCCCCCCCCACTATGCAGACCACATTTCATCTCAAAGCCCTGAGATCTGCACATGAATGCCTATTATTAAAAATTTCGCGGATCCAGCGTGGGTGATACCGGTGGAGTGGTGCTGCACTCACTGACCTTGGTACTTGTTGTGCCTGAACATTCTCAATCGAGGTCCGGAATCATGTGGGTATGATACAATACAGTACATATTCCCCCGAGCTGAACGGGGGGGCAAACGGTACATTACGGCGAGATCTCGCTTGTGGAGAAGCTTCTGGGTGCAAGCTGCGGGAGGTTGGAAAACGAAAAGGGCAGTGCGTGCCCTGCATTGACCAATCGCGACCCCGCGTCTCTGTCTCGACCCGTGCTGGCCGCCTTACCAGCTGAAGTACTGCACGAACACCTCAAGCGCCTTTTGTTAACGCTATCCATTAGAAACTGACGTATGGCGGTGATTAAAGCACTCGAGCACGAGAAGAGCGAGGATAAACCGGTTTCGTGACTGCCAGCCGGATGCCCACTGTACCTTTTCCTCGTGGGCTCTTTCTACTCATCCGATTTCACATCCGCTATCATCTGTACAGTAATTGACAACCAGCACCGCGGCAATGGTGCTAGCACTATTGACTCCTTTTCCCTACCGCCTCAAATATTTGCTGGAATGATTTGATTGACTGGATCTATGGAGGAAGATCCGCCTTAAGCCTTGGCTGTATTGTGATCTCTCCTGTACTGTACTAGTACGGTACAGCACCGTAGCCATGCCCTGCCCATTCCCACCCTGGATATTGGCACCATAGGATCATAATGAGGCTGGACCATCCAAGAAAGCAAAATTTCGCTCAGAGAACCCATTGCAAAGCACTCAAACAGCTCCCCCCCCACCTTGTGACTGCTGTTGCTTGCAAGACCCCGCAGCTACGGGGAGGACAATAACCCAGCGGAATTTTTTGCCCCAACCTGCTTCCTGGTTGCCAATGTGGAAAAAAAATCTCGCGATGAAGATAAAGATGAAAGTTCCCTATGAGTACTCGAGTACTGTACTTGTACCGTACAGCACCGCGGAAAAAAAGAAAGGATGAAGAAAAGAAAAGCAAAAACGCTTTACCCGTTAACATGGCGACCATCGTCATGTCTCGTTTTGCCCTAACGAAACGTGTGATTCGGGTCACCCATTGTCTAAAAACCAGGGCATTTCCATAATTCGCCTCTTTCAAGTATACCTTCGGCCCCTCTCCCTGAAGAGAAACACGGAAATTGCTGCGCTTGATAACCTGAATGGCCGCGCGACTGGATGCCACAGGAACTTTGTCGACCAAAGGAACAATTCCCGCTGCAACGACGGTGCAGAGACTAAACAATTGGCAAGCCAGAGGAACGGAAGTGCGGGTGCTCCTGGAGGGGGGGACCCTTGTCATTGGTTTGGGTGGGGAAACGAAACGAAAAGGTTTTCTTATTCGAAAGTGTTTCTACAAAAGGTACAAGTACGAAGTACCATTGGGTCCCCTTTGTTGATCCTGGCCCCTCTCTGATTTCCTCTCATCCCCCCCCTTTCTCCCTCGTATCTGCTTGTAGCCTATCCGCGTTCTTTTCCCAATTCCCCCCTTTTCACTCGAGTACATTTTTAATCTAGACCTCGAATTTAGGCAAAGAAACAAACTAATTCGGTTTCTATTTCCTCCGCCCTCCTCCCACGGCGGACAAAACAGCCTGACCCAATGTCTCCCCTTTCCAAATGATAGCATTCTGTAATGAACCGGCCGCAGCTGCAGAAAGGATAACACACGTTTTTCCACCCCCAAAATTTGCTTATATCGTACCGGCAATAATGGCTGACATTCGGGATCTACGCCGTTAGATACTGCTTACATCTTTCTTACCTCGCATGCCTTTCTCCGCCCGATCAGCTAGGCAGCCTCAGCCAAACAGCCTACCATGCAGTACCCGCACACAGTGCTCGTAGGCAAACCAAGACGGTAGATATATATGTTGAAGGGGTGAGGAGCGTTTCCCTACGATACTGCCCGCTTTGCGCAGATCTCATTCTAAGTTATGACCGCAGATCCAAAAAGTTACACTGGGGCTGCTAATCCTCCGGGTAACCACGAGATTCTCAGCCGCGCATCTGTCTGACAACCGTTCCCTCCTGAATTATCCGTCCTTGCAGGACGGGAATCCGATGAGATGACCAGAGTGTTTGACCCTTTCTTTTTTTCCTTACCTTGCCTCCCTTTCTTCCTTTCTTCCCACATACCGGTACTCTTTTCTTCTTTTCTGCCTTGTCCGCTCGTGCTTTTTGGCTATGCTCGTGCTTGAACCCCATGCATTGACTTTTTTTTTTGCATTCTCTATGACTGATCGCTAGGCCGGGAAAATACCGGTATTAGTAGGGAGAAATACTGTATATGGTCGCACCGTGGCAAATCTTGGATTACTAACTTTGACTAAACGCGCTCTTTCCTCGGTGGTAATCCAAATTCCCATCTATGGCAAGAGGGAGACCAAGCAACTGCCGTAGAGGGAACCCGCAACCAAAAGATCCAAACCCCAAGTTTGAGATAACATCAAAGTTCTACCCTCTACGACGCCCAACTCCTAAGGAGGACATTCAGAGCGCTAACGCAAGAAATTGATGGGGAACTCGATCCGCAAAAAGTAAACATATAATAAGAAGCCGAGAGCCGTCCATCACCCGGTATCAGTGCCGATAACGGATAGTTACCAACCAAGGCAATGACGCCACTTTACCGTAGGGGGAAGCCCGAGGGAGGGAGGAGGAGGAGGAGGAAAGGATCAAATGGAGACAGAGCTTGCTTTTTGGCTGGGAAAAACGAAATAAACAGCAATTGACTTGCTGTGCCTGCCCCCGTGACTGGACATACGACGAGGACCGATAGCTTACTCTCGGGCGTTGTGGCGGGATTTCCAGGCGCCAGGTATTGTACAAAGCAGAGTAGAAATTAGTGATCGCAACCGGTCGGCGAATCGCATGCCTTATCGGGACGATACTAATGTCATTGGAGGCCACCATACCCTCACCAAAGGGTCTTTCCGAACTCGCATTGGCTCGACAAGATAATGAGAGCGGAGTTCGTTTTTCGACCTACGGCGCCAATCCGAAGCAGTTCCGAAGCTCATACCGCGAAACTATGTTTCTGTTGGTTCCAACTGAACTCTCTCGGTCACTCTTTTCCCTCTTGTGACATTTTACCACTAAACTTTCTCGGTGAAGAGCAGCGAACTGAGACGAAATCTGCCCGCTGCTGCTGCTGCTGCTCTTGCGCCCCGTAGACCACTGTACTTCCAATACGGCACATCATATGCTCTCGGATACACCCCAGAAAACTGCAGTGGTGGCTTTCAGATGGCAGACGCCAAAGCCCCAATCTCCACTGCAGCACGTTTGTTGGGATCAACAGTGTGCTCTTTATTTTTTCTTTCCATATTAGTATCATTGTGGTCTTGCCAACCGCGATCCGAGCGATTGATTGACCAATTGGGGCCCAATAAACACGGGTATTTATAAAAATGATATCGCATGCAATAATTCAACGCGCTGCACATCGAAGTGCTCGAGGAAAGGATGGGGTGCATTAAACGAACCCGAGCCCTGATGGAAGATTTTTCTCCAACCTAACATAATAATATAATATTTTAATATGATATACGATACTATTTTAATATTGCCGATATTATGGATAAATATGAACCTATAACTTCAGATAGCCATCGCTACTCCGTGGTCTTGTGCTCGTACTGGTACTCGAGTACGAGTACAGTACAGTACAGTACCTGCAGTCTAACCCATCCGATGGCACAACCTCAAGCCGCCGTCGAAACCAAGCCAATGTTCAGAACAAATCATTACAAACAAGGGTGGAGGGGAGCAAATATCAATAGCTTGTGAATGAAACTTGGTGAGTTGCGTAAATTCTCCCATTCTCTGAGCTCTCAAGCACCAGTACTACCCTTAATCTTCTCCGCCCGTAGATCACAGAGAGGGGGGCAAAGTCAATCGTACTCGTACTGTATGATGGGCTAGCTCTCTCCCCTATCTATCATACCCTCCAGTCACAGAAAAAAAGCTCTCAAGACCCAGGATCCCAACAAACGCAACAATTTGATAGACTACCTGGCACAGTACCTTACTTGAGCAACCAACTTTCAGTCTCTCCTGGAAACCCGAATTTCGCAAGCCGCCACCTCCCCCCCCCTTACTACTATTCCGACCAGGTTTGAAAACCTATAGTTTATCGATCCGCCGAAATACCGCTCTCCACCGAGAGAAATTTGTTTTTTTTCTCCCTCTCACTCGACAAAAAGTACAAACAACAATTGTCGAGGTTTGTTATTTCCACAATCGATAGGTCACGACACCTGGTCTGGGCAGTAAGGCAAATATTAACGCGAAACCGATCCTCATTCGAAACTGCTTATATAGGGGGAGGGGGGAAAGGAGGGGTGGCAACATAGGGTAAAGTTTTGCCGTAACTATCCCGTCCTACTTACCCTACTGGTAACTATGTGCGCTACTACCGTGGCCACAATTATGATAATCCTGACAAGCACAGAGATATCTCATCGAGCGATGGTACTCCGGAATCCTGATATTCCCCGCTGTTTCGGTATCATTATCGTATCATACAAGTAAGCTACGGTACTACCACCTCTTTTTCTTCTTCTTCTTTCCCTCTTCATCCCTTGCTATGATACAAGTTATATATATATACACTTGTAATGCCTATTGTAGCCTTCCCTCCACCTCCGCGGTATTCCTCCAATCCCACGCCACCAGTCGCCCCCCCCCCCCTCGCCGAGATCTGGGCTTGCAATGCGCTTCTAGGACGGGTGTGATACTGATTAAGATGGGGTATGGGGGTACAAGTATGGGGAAAAAACAAAACAAATGAATGGGGTCGAAAGAGAAAAGAAGAAAAAAAAGTGCACGGATCCAAGTTTGGTAACTGTACCGTTCTGGGGAAATGATTGGGAGATTGTGATGCGGATATAAGATTCCTATGGCTTGAAGGGGAAGTCGCCATGTGGGGTTCTCGTGGGACAAATGGGCATGGACGATAAAATATATTATATTCGCATGGTGGTGGATGAAATTATTAGATCCCGTACTCGTACAGCACAGTACTTGTACTATCCACGATAACTGAAAGTTATGATAGCTCTACAGTAACAAGGCAACGTAATACGCCTAAGGACACACGGGGATAACAAGGGAAAAACTAGGGGGGGGACGGCCCATTATCCTCTCTGATCCCCTACCACCACCGAACCCCCTCCTCCACCTTTCGTTGGGCTTTAGAGTATTTTTCGGTATGTACTGGGGCACGTTATCGGAATCCAGTATCGCAGGACACCGTGAACAAGACCGCCACCGCTGCATAAGGATACAAATCTTGCGATGGCCTACCAGTGCGACACCGTAAGTTGCCGTATGATACTGTGTAAATAGGGTATGTACCTGTAGCAACACAGTCAATCCATCACTCGCAAACAAGACTTGACCCCAAAACAACCCAATCCCAAAACAGGAACTAACCCATCCCTCCGTACATTCATTCTCAACCCTTCACCCCGTTCTACTCCACCCTACTCTACAAACAACATACGGTATCATACCATATTTTTGCCCCCCCCATTCGGGAGAGATTACACCGTGCACCCGCCATCTCCTCCGGTACTTGTCCTAGGCCGCAGGTACCCGAAAACAAGGGGGGGGGAGTATCTTATACCGTAATTTGTATTGGTGCTCAGATAAGCCACATATTTTTCCCCATATATTTCTTTAATCGCCGTTCTCGGGCACTTATGGCCTGGGAGAAGTATCACTATGTCTCAACAATCCCGCACCCCCCCTCGCTCCCCACATTTCATTGCCATATTCAACTCAGCCAGCACTGTGCCCGGGGGTAACGCTGCGAACCTCCCATACAGCGGGGTGTTTTGTCTTTCGTAGCTTTCTGGTTTAGCCCCACCCCCAACTACCGTTCGGGTGATCCTCAGCTTGAGCTTGTCAGTCGGTACAAGTACAGCACTCGGAGCGCGAGAAATGATTCGTGGACATCATCATCGCAACGATGTCCGCCTCCCCTACTTGTGCGAGTACCGGTACAGTACCGTATGAGAAAGATTCAGGGAGGAGAGGCTGCTATGGGTCACCGCTTGTACTCGTAAGGCCCCCTTCACGCAGCTCGCACGGACTGGCGTACAGTTAGGCACGATACCAGTGCAGTGCCGTTGACTTGGCCGGAGGAGAGAGAGGAAGGTGGGGGGGAGAAAGGGAGAAAGTTCCAAACGGTTGGGTTGTCGAAACATCGGACGTCGGGTATATCGCTCCCGCTCTCCCGTGAAGTTCTCTCTATTGTTTTTTCTTCTTCTTTTGTCTTTCTTTAGCGATTGTGTGCGCGCGTGCATGTGCTTCAGGTGTTCGCAAATTCTTGGCTGGCTTGGAGGGTGAGGGATGGAGGAGGCGGGGGGGGGAATCGATATCGTAACGTACCGTGGAGCGGGTGTGAGGGGGTGGGTGGGTACGTGCGTGTGCGATTGCGGGTTTGTCGGTTGGAGGTTGGGGTTCCTGGCCGCCTCGCTGCTGATTGGAGTGGTAAATTATCGTGTCCTCGTCCGGGGGAAGAAGCTACTCGAGCACAGTAAGTTAGCCTACCATCGTGACGGCGGGATCCCCCGCGATGCCTTGAGCACCCTTTGAGTGTTGGGGGCGTTTCTAAATTTACTGATACAGAACGGTTGTTGGATCGTGTGCTCTGATACTGTAGACACCGTAGTAGGGAAGTGAAGATTGGGGCACAGCACCTATCCAGCTCACAACGTAGACAGCCCAGGCCGATGGGCATGCAGGGCAGTAAGGCACAGTACTTGTAACGCGGAGTTGGATCAAGAAGCGCGCATCTGTCACACCTACTACTATGGACATCTGTTTGTAATGGAACAGCGTTCGTGAGCCCAGCTACTGTCAATCGCATAGCGCTAAAATTCAGCTCTCTTGCTCAGATCTTAATGTCATGCAATAGCGGTGGTACAGTACTCTGCTTTCACAAACGTCGTTCAATTACGATTATCATACCAGTACTCAGTGCTACTCGTACACCTTCGTACATACCCATGCCTAGAACCGAAGCCACCCATCCCCCTCGCTACAAGTACCTTCATCCCATACATTCCACCCATCCCTCCCATCTCACTAGAGTAAACAGTATCCATACTCGAGTACAGTCAACTAGAACTATCTGGCAGGCCCACTTTATGCCGTCGTGGAGCGGGAATGACAGGAGAAAAAAGGAAAAGAAAAAAACGCCAAATTCCCAAATCCAGCTCTATCGTCCGGGGGGGAAACGCTTTTTAGGTTGCTGCTCACGACAGGCTAATCCAAAGCCTGGACCCGGGAGAGCTTGGGTACATTACCCGTGTGGCTGGGTAGTGGAGGGCGTGAGTTGTGGTTTTTTTTTTTTTTTTTCTTTTCCCTTTTTTTCCTTCCTTTCCATATCGCGCCTCCTCGACGTGGAAAGTCAGTCACCCTTCTGGAAGCTCCCGAAGAAGTCGGGAGATTAGGGGAGGCGGGGTGTGCAGGAATTACGGAATATCGCGTGGGGCGTGGGAGGAAGGAATCGAGCAAGTGTTTTTTTTGGCGGTGTTATTGTCATGCAAGAGAAAAAAAGGGAAGAGATACTTGTACAATGGGTGCGATATCGGCTCCAGTATTGAGGCTGTGACGGGGGCCAGAAAATCTTCACATGGGATAGTCACTCACGTTCCGCTTCGAAGCGAGGCTGGAGTTTTCTGGTGTCGGGTTCGGGTAAGCCAGCCTTATGGAACTCGCAGTGAGGTTCTTGTCGGTGTCAACTTGCGATTATCTTGACTTGTTGCCCGTACCTGTACGGTGCTTTTGCGGCATCCTGCTGTCATAGTATCATACCGGTGTATATATAACAGTAGGGGTTTTCAAAGCTAAAGAAGTGTAAGTTTCCTAGCGTACTTGAGCATGTAAGGTAAGCTTGGCATGAACAAAAGTTGGTTAATGTACTCTGGAGTTACCATACCAGCAAGATACTATTCCTGTGTATCGATACCGAAGTCTAGAGGTCGGTAATTAGCAACATGTACTCACGGCGCCGGTTTGCTCTGTCCGTTCCAATAATGGTATCGCTCATGATCGGGTGTTTTAACCAATAAAGTGCATTGACTAGCCACAAATCCGGTAAGAGTGAAATAGCAAAGGACACCTTAAAACCAAACTGTAACATTGGCTGCATGCATTGTCTATCTATATACAAAACCAAACCCTCAAAGTCAAGGTCTCATGACAAAAACTCCAACTTATTACTACCTGTCAAAGTTATTGTTTCCACTGTGAAGAATATATCTATTAAGCTTTTCATAAAAGCTTTGACAACGCCTATCAATTAATTCCTGTGAAAACTCACTCCAAACTTGAACTAATGTAGTCTTTGCTTACTCAACTGTTTCTTGACTAGCGCTGGTAATCTGGTAGGTCGCAATCTCATCTTTACAGTCATCCCAAAGTCATTTAATTTGATTAAGATCTGGAGATTATTATGGCCATTCAAACTTGATGATTCCCTTTGTATGGCATATATCATGATCAACTCTCTGAATAGTCTGGTGTGCAGGAGCATTATACTCAACAAGATAGGTAACTGGCATGCCAGTTTTTACTTGAAGCTTATCGATTCATGGATATAAGAGAGGATTCAGTACGTGGTTTCGATAGGATACCCAATTAACACCTCTACTGCTGCAATACTGAAATTGTGGTTCCTGATCCTCTTGATGTGGACCTTGTAAACATCTTCTCCTCTTCTCCTCTCTACCTTTTTTTCTATTCTGTTCCTCAATATTTTCATTGATTTCTGTAAGGACCTGGTGCTGTCAGATTCCTGGAATCAATACCTGTATTTGCTTGAATGTTTGATATTGGATTTGAATATTGTTCTCATAGTTGATAATATCTCTATGGCGTAGTTGGTCCTCAGTTGTATCCTTCTCCTATACATGGCAAGGCTCCTTATATCCTAAGCAAAGGGCAAATTAATACATAACACGAATTGTTTGATAATCCTGCTTATCATAAAGCACCCATTAATTAGAATTGACACCTCACTTTCTGGTAACATTGTACGATGTTGAGTAGAATTAAACTCAATCTACATCTCATCTCTGAACACAAATGCTCTATCACCATATTTAATACCATTTGCAAAAATGCCAGACATGCCTTAATATGAAGTGGAGTTAAAAAGGGCTTATGAGTGGCCTTTTTGCGAAACAGATTGCGATAGTCATGAAATACTTTCTCCAAGGTGGACTAGGTTGCATAGATATTTAACTTCTTTGCAATAATGATAAATGGCATCTGCCAATGCTCTTCATCCTTTTAGAATAACTCTACTAATATAAGACTTTATTCTCCTCCTTCTAGAAATCTTGCTTGCTGTCCACCTCCACCTATATCTTCAAGACAGTACAGGATACCATCAAGATCATCTTTATCTATTGCTCACTCCTATAATAATTAGTTATCTTTTGATATCCATAATTAACTCTGATAGAAGTATATCTTAGCTTATTTAATAATCCTTCTGGCTGTTCTTTCATTAACATTAATCTTCTTGGCTATCTTATTAAAGACAAAGCCAGCATACCAACTTAATGCCAAAATTACAGCTCGCTTGAGAAGTGAAACATGAGTAGCAGATCCACGACCTTGAGGCATTTCAATAAGTCTTCAACAAATGACTTTCTAAAGAGCAGTAATACAAATATGGTATCTTAACTACCATGATGTTTAGAACTTTAATTTTGACTCATGAGGTTGCAGGATTGTGGAGGCTAGCACAGCTCTTCTGAGAATTTATGAGTAAGATAGTAGAGGTTCTTGAGATTTAGAGTTTTCTGCACTAAGTAGGAATGGTAGCTGCCAGAGGTTTTCCAATGAACTTGAAGGGAAAAAATGACTAACAACAAGTGACATTATTTTTGGAATGGATAGAGCAAACTGCCACCATGAGTAAAACCTTTTCTTGATATAAAATAACACAATCAGTGTAAAAGGTTGACTAATGTAACGATCCCTCTCTGGATAGTTAGTGCTTGGCGACAGGGAATGATACTTCTCTTCCTGTCTTCTTCTTTCTTTGTCTTACGATAGCTTTAGGCCTCTACCTACGGTACCGATAGTACAAGACCCTTGTCTTCTACCGGGAACGCCTATCGTAAGCTTTCTCTAACTCTTCTTCATAAGGCGCCTTCCTTGGCGTAACGATAACGTTGCAATAAAGATAACGATCGTATAGGTATTTTATATTCGTTAAAGTAATAAGTAGGAAAAGTACTTAGAACAAAGCGTGAAGAACCTATCTTCCTCGGCCTCATTGGCCTCCTTATATAGTATTCTTCCCGCCTGTAGTCATGTGACCTAATGTGGTCACATGTGCGAAACCAAATCATAACAAACTAGTCATGTGACCAAAGTGATCACATGCTCAAAACCCATGACCTTATAGCGAGGTCATGTACAAAACTCATAAATCAATCATAACGCAATAAACAAGTCATATGACTCGACTGAGTCATATGCGCGAAACCCATGACCTCATAATGAGGTCATGTGCAAAACATAAATCATATGCGCAAGGCTTACCCGCAAGGCATACTCGTAAGGCATACTTGTCCAGCGCATGTCCCATGACTCATACTTGAGCCATGTGCGAAAGCCTCACAAATCCCACACATAACAAATCATATAACCCTAATGAGTCATATGTGTGAAACAATAATGTACCTGTGACTCATAACTATGCGTCACCTGAAAACTCTTTTCTCGCTAAGCCACATTTGTGACAACTAAATTCAAACATTAATAAATCAAAATATCTTCTCTTTCACAACAAGTATGTTTTTTTCAACTTCTCTGTTAGGAATACCGAGATCTGATACCTAGGAACCATCCTAGGTAGGGTAACCCCACCCAGAATTGGAATCTCTGGTCTCCAACACTTGTAACCGGTACAGGTACTCGGGTATGGTTTGTTTTAAGCATCGTTTGATACTTGGTTTTGTTTTATGTTTTGTTTTAAGTATCGCTTTGATACTTGGTTTGTTTTAAAGTATTGTTTGATACTTGATTTTGTTTTATGTTTTGTTTTAAGTATCGCTTTGATACTTGGTTTGTTTTAAGTATCGTTTGATACTTGGTTTTGTTTTATGTTTTGTTTTAAGTATCGCTTTGATACTTGGTTTGTTTTAAGTATCGTTTGATACTTGGTTTTGTTTTATGTTTTGTTTTAAGTATCGCTTTGATACTTATTTAGTTTCACCAAAGTGTATCAATTGATACCTTTGATTAGTTTCGTTCATGCTAGACATGAACAGATTTGTGTATTTAAAGACCGCCTGTTTCTACGATAGAAAAGGCAGACTTCGAC